GTGACGACGATGTGGGAAGAAAAGTGGAAGGCCGAGTCGCAAATGAACAGAAGAGACATATGGACGACGACGGTGTTGTTCGCTGGGCAACAAATCCGAGACCGCGACCGCGGCTCTGTAAGGCCCGTCGTAGGCCCAGCGTTGGCGGCATGACTGGCTGACTCGGTGGGAAGGTTGGAAAGCTAGAGTGTAGCTCCCGGTCGATGACGAGCCATCAACTTTCCAAACCCGAAACAAGAAGATGGGACGGTAAATGCGATAACCACCCGCGGCCAATTGCGATAACAGCAGGCCGGCTAAAAAAGATATCGGGTTGCCGGCCGGAAAAGCAACAGCACCACCCGGCCGCTAGAGACCCCGGGCTGTACCTGTCCGTAGGCGCTTCTGGAAGGGTCCCAGACCTGGCATGCCCCCTGTGGTGCAGCAAGCAGCTTCCCCAACTCCTGTCGTCCCAATCATCCGAGCGGCCGACGTCAGACGTGTCAAGCACTCTGCGCCGCTGACAACCCCGCTGTGTCCTCCGCGCTTCCCTTTGCATCCAGTGATTCATGCCGGCGTCAACTTCAGCAGAACAAAGAACAACTTGCAAAAAGTAGATTGGGCTATATTTGTTTCCGTCTTTCCCTTATACCCAAATAAATATAATACTTTTCGACGACGACACGCGACTTCCCTCCCGACAATCAAAGCGCACAGAGGCATCCTCACATACCGAGGCACTCTCCCCTAGAAAGCCCAACTGCATCGCGTCTCGATCATCCCGCTCAACGGGCATCACCAACACCAACACCACACGAGGACCCCAACAACAACAAACAAACAAACAAACAAACAAACAAACAAACAAACAAACAAACAAACAAACAAACAAACAAACAAACAAACAAACAAACAAACAAACAAACAAACAAACAAACAAACAACGAGCACCATCAAAATGTCCCTCAACGTAGCCCAACGCCGTCTCCTCCAAGAATACCGCTCCCTAACCAACAACCCACCCGAAGGCATCACCGCGGGCCCCATTTCCGAAGACGACCTGCTGCACTGGGAATGCTTGATCCAAGGGCCCGAGGGCACCCCCTTTGAGGGCGGCGTGTTTCCCGCAGAGCTTAAGTTCCCGAATGATTACCCGCATATGCCACCGAGCATGAAGTTCCTGGGGGATGTGTTTCATCCTAATGGTATGTTGTTTTGCGCTTCCCTATCCTTTCTTCTCAGCCTTGTAAATGCGCAGTCGCTAACAACCCCAAACAACAGTCTACCCCTCAGGCCTAGTCTGCATCTCGATCCTCCACCCACCCGGCGACGACCCGAACCACTACGAGAAGGCCTCGGAAAGATGGTCACCCATTCAGTCCGTCGAGAAGATCTTGCTGTCGGTTATGAGCATGTTGGCGGAGCCTAATGACGAGAGTCCAGCGAACGTGGAGGCGGCCAAGATGTGGAGGGAGAGGAGGACCGAGTACGAGGACAGAGTGAAGGCGAGTGTGAGGGCTAGTTTGGGACTTTAAGGGGCATGGGGATTAGGGAAGAAAGAATATCGAGAATGATGGGGAGGATGGAAGATTCGGTTACGGTGAGGATCTTCATGGATGGGTCAAGCTCTTCCGAGCAAGAGGGTGATTTGCGGTATACATTTTTATTAGCATGGCATGGCATTGGTGTTTTCCTTTGAGGATAATAATGATGATGAACTTTTACTCCGACGTTTGGATCTACACACACATACGACCATATGACCACTGCTTGGTTTCCACAGCTTGAACCGATGCGTTTCTAAAGCGCGTAGGCAGCTTTTACTCTATTAGCATTCCTCAGTGTTTACTTCTAGCTCACCCCCTATTTCTTCTAACGTAGATATCATATCTCAATAAGCACCTTTCAACATCAAACGCTTATATATGCTTCCAACTCCATCCCAGCTATAACTCATCACCAAACTCCTCTCACATTTCGCACCACAGCTCACATATTATTCTCCTTCTTAAACTTATCCCAAGCCTCATTAAGCGTAGCAAACACCGTTCCAGCAATCATCCTAACCTCGGTCGACGCATCGGTAGGGATCTATAACACCATTCAGTTAATACTCTCTTCACTCTTTCTTCACAATATCCAGGAGGGCAAAAGACGGACAAACTGACCTTATCGGGATGGCACTTGGCAATAGCCTTCATGTAAACAATCTTGACCTTGTTCGCCACCACTAGCTCATGCAACCCGACCTTCTTCCACCCGCTCCCCTCCCACAGCACATTATCCAAGCTAGACAGCAGCGCGCGCAAATTATCCTTCTTGCCGTCTCTCCAAGAAGCGATTTTGGCATCGACCTTGTCGGCAAGAGCAAACTTTTCGTTTCCTTCCTTCTCCGCGGCCTGGTTGGCTAAACGGAGACGTTGGACTGCCTCGTTTGATTTCTGACTTGTTGCCGTGGGGGTAGGCCGAGGACGAGCTGGGGCAGCAGAGGGCTTCTTAACGGGAGCAGCAGCGGCGACGGGCTTGGGGGCAAGAGCTTTCTGACACCTCTGTCTCCCCGCCGCCGCCGTTTGGCCACCAAGACCAGCTTCGACCGCACTCTGCCATACTTTTTCGGCTTCCACCCACTTCTCCATTTGCTCCAGCGCTTCGGCCTTGCGGGTGAGCGCTTTGCCGTAGAGGTCGCGCATTTCGCGTTTCTCTGCTGGGCCGTGTTCGGACGTCTGGACTTCGACCGACTCGCCTTCTCCCTTGGAGGGGCCGATGAGCGCGATGGCAGCGTCCGCATCCTGGACGGCTTGTCGGGGTTCGCCGACTTTGAGCGCGGTGAGGGCGCGGTTGCAAAGTAGGAGGATGGCCAACGGGTGGGTAGACGGGATGGCGGAGAGGGAGGCACCGTATGAGGTGTGCGCCGCGGCGTAGTCTCCGCGCTTGAAGTGGGCGGTGCCTTCGAGACGGTGCTTGGTGGATGATTGGAGGGCAATGGCGGAAATGGGAGGGACCTGCCGGGGAGGCGCGGCCGGCTTGGGTTGTATGGGGGCGGGAGACCGTCGGGGAGCTGGGGGACGTGGTACTGCAGCTTTGGCGGCGGGTCTGGGAGGTAGTGTGGTGGTAGGTTGAGACTTGGATGGAGCTGAAGAGCCGAATAGAAGATCTTCGTCCTCAAACTGTGCCGGTGGAGGAGCTTGCGGTTGCGGCTGTGGAGTGGCCTTCTTCCTGCGTGCAGGACTAACATAAGCTTGGGAACTCTGCTCCTCGGTAGCCTGCTTGCTGAGCCTAGACCGTGGATCGATCGAGGCCGATGGTGATTGTGCCTGTTGCTGCCACCGGGGCACGGGGGAAGCATGTCGTTGCGGACCATTACTAGCAGTCCAGGGTTCCGCCGGGCGTTCCCTCGTAGAATCCGGCTTCCGTACCGGCCGCCCACCACCCTCCAACATCATAGCTTCATCTGTGACATCCGGCGCTTGCGGCCTCCTGCCGCCTTGCTCATACTCAGCAGCATCTCTCATCCATTTGGGCTGGTTCGGATCGCCTCCTTCCTGCTGGAACTCCTTCACAGCCTCCTGCACCTTCTTCTGCCCTGTCTTCCACAAGCTGTTCGCCGTTTTGAACAAACTCGTGCCCACAGCTGCCGCAGTCTTGGCAAAGTCCACCTCGGCCAGAGACGCCGGTGATCGATTATCCCTACTCCTAGACCTCTCAGCCTGGTGCTGCTGTTCCTCCCTCATCCACGAAGGTCCTCCTTGACCACCACGTCCAGCGCGAGACTGGCTTGCTCCTCGTTCCTCGCTCCGCCCAGTGTGTTGGTGTCCGCCACCACCTCCATTCTTAGTCCTAGCCTCCTCCTTCGCCTGCCTGTGCGCGTCGTCGAGCAGCCAGTTAACGGCCGCCTGAACGTTTAGTCCGGCGCCACTCTCCGTCAAGCCTCTTCTGGCATTTTCAGGAGTGAATCCGTAGTCGACTAGTTGGGCCACTGCCCGGTCGAAGGGGTCATCGGATGGGCGAGAGGGTCGTGCGGGTTCCTCCTCATCAGAAGACGAGTCCTCGTCGTCCTCGATCGGCTTGCCTGGTTCTCGCCTTTGGGAGAAGGATGGTCTGGCGGCTTGTGCTTGGGGCTGTCGTTGTTGCTGTTGTTGTAATTGTTGCTGCTTTTGCTTGACCTGGTCAACAGGTTTAGCTAGGTCACCTAGCAAATCGTCCTCTTCGTCGAGGGCCGGGGGCGGCGGGGCCGCACTCTTCTTTGGCGCACCGAGTTCGCCGAGTCCGAACGGGTCGTCGTCATCGAGTCCCGCAAATGCCGTGTTCGCCGCACTAACTGGCGCCGGAGCAGGGGCAGGCACAGGCACAGGTGTACTCGGTTTCGGCGCGCCCCAGGCCGACGGATCCGAAAGATCCAACCTCGGCGCACTCGCCGTCGCGCCCGTCACCGGCCGAGGACTCGATACTTTCGGCGGGGGGTAATGGCTCGCATTATCGACCTTGGTCTCGGCCTTGAACGCCGCAAACAGGTCGTCATCCGAGTCGCTCGGCTTCTTCGTTGTCGTGTTCAACTGGTTCACCGTCGTCGGGTTCAGCGGGCTTGCGACCCTCGAGATCGCCGGGGACGGGATCGACGTAGTGGACGTAGGCATTGCCCCGAACCCAAACGCTGCAGGTGACGTCGTCCTGCTGTTGCTCCCACTGCCCAGCTGTCCCAAAGCATCAAGCCCTCCATATTGTGCCTGAAGCTGCTGTCGTCGTTCCTCCTCCTTCCTGCGTTTCTCGGCCTCCAACCTCTCCTGTTGTTCCTTCAAGCTTAGCTTCGCGGTGTTCTGGGTCGAGGATGAGCCGAAGCTGACGAGGCTGCCGAGGTTGCTGAAGCTGTCTTGCGCCGGCTTCGAGAACGGGTTGTTGTTGGACTTGGGAGCAATCGTACCGGAACCCTGAGTCGAGATAGGTGTACTACGACCCGAAGCGAAAGGGGACGGTGTTGGTCGGATCGCGGGAAAGCTGGAGAAGGCGGGAGTCGTGGTGGTCGTCTTCGGCTTGGAGCTGTTGCTGGACGCGGACCAGTCGAGGCCGGAGAGGTCGTCCATGGTCAATTAGGTAGGTTCCGATGGGAATTGCGATCGAGAAAGGAAGATAGTGAAAAGAAGAGTAAAATCAATAGAGGTCAAGTAAAATCAGAGTCGGTGATCATATTAAGTTGTTGGCTGTTTTATGAGCGAGCGGAAGTTGGAACTTTAAAGTTGTTGGTGATGACTTCGCCAATGTTGGTGGATTGCCATGGGTTTCCAGGTTGTGTCAAGCGGCCCAGGCGGGACGTTGTTCAGGGGTCCAGGCCAGGAGTTATAGGACCCAAAACCGGACTATGCGCCCCTAGAAATAAGGAACATGGGCATGAATAACACTTGCCCCTGAATGCAGGATCAAAGGCCCCGCCATGACGTGGCTGGTGATACATGGAACTTACAGGACACTCTGTCTGAATGTGGCGCATTACCTTACCTATTTTGTTCAGATGGGACAAGATGGCCTTCTTCAGCATGTGTACTTGGGGGTTTGGGTGCGGTTGGTTAGGACCTTTCTTCAACTCCTCTTATGAAAGAGGGGGAAAAAAAAACTCTGGGACAAACTTTTATTTTGTGACAATTTGAAATGTTAGGATGCACTATAGAAAACTGTTAGTGGACAGGGTGCAACTATGACAACCACTTCTACTATTTTTCTAAAAGTTTATTAAAACTTAAGAAGAAAGAAGCAATAATAGAAGAGACGCTTTCAAAATCTCCAAAAATTATCCTCTCAATTGAGCAAATAGTAGCCTTCTAACTTTGTATTAACGTTAAAAGTTCCTTATTTTTAGTGTTGTGGAATTGCCGATCTTAATGATGCTTTAATAATGAAAAAGCGGAAAAACTTGGGATATTTCAATAACTACTTGGACAGAATCAATACAACTTCATAAGCATCTTTAATAAAGCTCTTCCGACATTCTCAATTTTTTCTGAGTTTTTAAAAAATAATAATGGAGTGGAATAATCGTTGCATCTTTCTACTAATAATTTTCTATAGTGTACTCTAATATTCCAGATGTCCCAAAATAAAAGTTTGTCTCAGTTTTTTTCCTTCTCTTTCATAAGAGGGGGTTGAAGAAAGGTCCCAACCAACCGCACCTAAACCTCCAAATATTGTGACTTGCTCGTTTCAAATACGTCCGGATCAAAATATTCATGCGTAGAATGGTAGTATACAGCATATCCTTACCTGACACTTTGCTTCTCTATCTCTCCGTTTTGCTCTTCACATTCCTTTTCACCTGCTATACTTTCTCTTTATGCTTTCCCTTTAATTTCTCTTCTTCGCTAACTTCACATCTTTGTCACCTACTTATATATATCTTCACTTCTCTCTTCACCTCTCTTTTTCACCCCTCTCTTTGCCTCTCTCTTCACCTGTCTCTTTACCTCTCTCTTCACCTCCTCTGTGCCTCTCAACTCCTTTCACCCTCTCTTCAAATTCCTTCAAATCCTCACTCCTGACTTCTCCTCTTAACGCCCTCCGCCTCGCACCACTCCTCATCACTCATCCTAAACCAATCCGCCACGCACATCATGCCCGCCCACAAATCGCACTGCAGCACCAGATGCACCATCTCCAACCCCACCGCATTAAACATCCTTTCCAGTGAAAACGCATCCAGAAACCCCAGTCCATGAAAAACCACGTCCAACGCCGCCCCCTCAAACCCCATTTGCCTCGTAACATACGGTCTCGCCAGTCCTAACAAAGCCAAGCTTTCAAAGGGTGTCATCATCGCCCTCGCGGCACATAGTCCTAGCGCTCCAGCAGCCAGGACATGTGGTAGGCGGGTAAGGCCGTTGTCTCTGTAGAGGGGGGCATCCAGCCCCAGAGTACTGCTGGTAGCAGCCGTTTGTTGGGAGTTGCGGTTTGAGCTGGAGTTGTCAGGCACGTTAGGCCTCAACTCGGCGGCCCAAACGGCTGCTCCTGGGGGAATCGGAGCGGAGTCGCTGGTGGCAGAGTCGGATGTGTCGACGTCGAAGGTGATTAGGGTCGGGTTGACGTGCTCGGTTTCTTCGTCGTCGTCACTGAGGAAGGGAGCTTCGTCCGCTGTTGCTGCTGGGGAAGGCTGAGCTTGGGTTTGGGTTTGGCTGGATGAAGAGCTGCTGGGACCGCCGGGTGTGGTGAGGCCGGCGGCACCGCTGACGGAGATGGTGCTTTGACGGCGGAGGGTGCCGTCTGGTGGAGGACCGGTGGGAAGCGCGTCGTTGGTTGGGATGGCGTCGGAAGGGGCGTGAACCATCTCCCAGCCTGCATCAATTGCGTTCGCATTTGGGGCTTGTCGTTGCTGTTGTTGTGTTGGGGTTGGCGTGCGTGGCTGGGTTTCTTGTCGCTGCTGCTGTTGGGCTTGTTGCTCTTCTGGCGTGGGGGTAGGTGGGATGTATGTTCCCGATGGTGGTTGTAGGTAGGGGACTACCTCCTTAAGGGTCCTCCTCCTGCTGAAGTTGATGGGTTTGGGCAAACGTCTTTGGATCTTCCGCCTGAGAGACCAGACGAGCCGGGCATATGTCTTTGAGAAGAACCAGTAGCCGGCAAAAGGGACGACACCAGCGACGAGGGCGCCGAGCCAGCTGATGATGCTTCCATTGGTAAACGACGATGGGAGCTTTGGTAGAAAGATTGGGGAGTCATTGCAACCGGGAACGAAAAAACCAAGGGTAGGAACCCATCTCGAAGTGTTGACTAGGCCGGTTCGTTGCATGAAGACAAAGATCTCTAGATGCAAGTTAACCCATGCGAACACGTACTTGACCCAGGGATATTCTGGCATATCGAATCCAGCAAAACTATCGCTCAGGACAGATGATGGCAGCCCAGCCCAGATGTACTCTCCCCATGACTGCTGACTTCTGTGGAAGCCGAACAGGCGAGAGAAGGGGACGTGGGCGTAGTCCTTATACAGTAAAATGCGCTGCCTCAAGCCGTTAACTCCCCAGACACCGACGGTGGCCAACACCTCACCCGTGAGGAACAGCCTCCTACCGATTCCATCTTCGTAGTATTGGTGCTTTGTGGCCGCCTCATACAGCGCTTGGGCCTCGTTGATGCCACTGTCCGGTTCCGCAACGCCGATGACCAACATGACTTCGTTGTGAGAGCGGATAATGTCTCTGTTGATACGACGTGTCTCCGGATTCACTGGTCGTCCTCGGTCATCATATAACTGCTCTGGTGCTCCAGGCTGAGGCTCGCCAGTGCCCTCGACCACCTCATCGTAAGGAGAACGGCCCTGTGATCGGTGTTAGACTCAGGGCATGGATACATGTATAAACTATAAGGTGCACTGCAAAAGTCTTGCATCTCATGACAGACGGGTGACTTACAAGGGCCTGTGATGTCAGTGGGCCCAGCCGCATAGTGAAAGGGTCAACTAGATTCGGGAGATGTTTGTGGTTTGCTATCTGGCATTTGCCAAGATGTTTAAGTGTGCATTACACGGTGAAGTCTGACCAGTTGCTGGCCATCCTCGTGTCACGAATTGCGTGGCCGAGATTGTGTTAAGTGAAGATTACCTCTAGGTATGGTAGGTGGTCCTGTTGATGAGTGATGGAGACAGTTGATGATGCTCTGGTGGGGGAGCTTGGGGAGCACAGTTAGAAAGTAGAAGCCGAGGCGTCAGTGCCACCTGCATGTCCCGGTCATGCTCCAGCGCTTCAGCATGGTTCGTCACTGTTTGCAGTGGTTGGAGCTGCATTGCGCTAAGATAACCTTATTTCTTGGTCTTATCAGCAGGCGGCAGGCATTTTTTGCGAAAAGTTTTTGGAATTGGGGAGTTTGCTGCAGTGTACCTTCTACAGCAGAATCCAAAGGCGGCGGCGCGCAATCGCAACCCCTCTTCCTGCCCTCTGTTTGATTTAATCCACTTGTACAGCCAGCCAGACACTCCTTCACAATGGCGTACAGGCAAACCACCACCAAGACGACCTTTGAGGTCAACAATGTCATCCAGCCTATCTTCACAGGAGGTTCCGTCGCCCTCGACAATGGCGCTAGGATCCTCGCGACCACCCTCGGCGAGCAGGCCGTCCTCACAGAGCTCAACACCGGCAAGCAGCTCGCCGAGATCGAGGGCGATGGAGAGCCCATCTCGACCCTCACAATCACCCCTTCGGCCTCCCACCTGATCATCTGCTCTCGCTCTCTTACTATGCGCATATACTCCCTGAAGGTTTCACCAGATTACGATTCCATCGAAGCCACCCTTGTACGCACCACCAAGCCCCACGCCACCCCCGTCGTTGTCCTCGCCGTCGACCGAACCAGCACCCTCCTCGCCACTGGTGCTGCCGACGGCGCCATCAAGATCTGGGATATTGTCGGAGGATACGTTACCCATACCGTCAGCGGCCCGAGTGTCCTTATTTCTGCCCTTCACTTCTTCGAGATCGCCGCTCTCGAGGACCAATCCAGCAACAAGAACAAGAAGAACAGGAGAAAGAGCACAGCGGATGAGGACCAAACTCAGGATGACAGCATCGCTTCCAAGTTCCGCCTTGCCTACGGCACACAGGACGGCAAGATTCGGGTATTCGATCTCAGCAAACGCAAGACCTACCCCGTTTACGCCGACCCGAATTCGAGGAGAGAAGCGCACGAGTCCAACGTACAGAGCCTTGACTATTCGCCAGAACTACATGCCCTTCTCAGCGGCAGCAGAGACAAGACGATGACAGTATGGCTATGGAAGGAGGGGGCTTGGAGGGGAACACCCATGTTGCGCCACGAAGGCGTCGAAGCTGTTGGCTTCCTTAACAACGGAAGCTTGATGTATTCGGCCGGCACGAGTGGCCTTCTCAGGCTATGGGACACAACCACACACCAAGAGATTACAGCAAAGCAAGACGCCAAGTCGGAAGCCGAGTCGATAGTATCAGCCTTTGCTCTGCCCCACAAGAACCTCGTTGTTTGCGCCCAGTCCGACTTTACTATCGCCCTCTACCGCACACCTTCGGCCGCCGATGCCGCGAAGAAGTCGACGAAGCCCCTGGACCCCTTCAGGCGCATCTCGGGAACGCACGACGAAATTCTCGACCTCGTTTACCTCTTGCCCGATCAGTCTCTCATGGCTCTTGCGACCAACTCCGAAGATATCAGACTTGTCTCTGTGGCGGATAAGCAGCCGCAGCTGGGCGAGGAGGAGGAGGGTGCGGCATACTTTGGTCATGACGTAGCTCTGCTGAAGGGACATGAGGATATTGTCATGTCTCTCGACGTTGACTGGTCTGGTCACTGGGTTGCCAGTGGTGCCAAGGATAACACAGCTCGTCTCTGGAGGGTCGACCCAGCCAACAACTCCTTTGAGTGCTATGCAGTCTTCACCGGTCACATCGAATCCGTCGGCGCTGTCGCACTCCCCAAGACCGTACCCCCCGAGAACTCGGATGCGTTCAAGAACCCTCTCGACCACCCACCCGCGTTCCTCATCTCCGGTTCCCAGGATCGGTTCGTTCAGAAGCGCGACATTCCCCGAACATCACAAAAGGGAGCTGTCTCAACCAGTCTCCGTCGCTTAGCCCACGAGAAGGATATCAACGCTCTCGACATCAGCCCCGATGGAAAGCGCTTTGCCTCGGCATCACAAGACAAGGCGGTCAAAATCTGGGATTCCGCGACACTGGAAGTCGTGGGTATCCTCAAGGGTCACCGCAGGGGTGTCTGGACTGTCCGGTTCGCGCCTCTGGGCATGCCCGCCATCCAAGGCGAGACTGGCACCGCCGTCTCCGGCAAGGGTGTGATCTTGACCGGTTCCGGTGACAAGACCATCAAGCTTTGGAATCTCTCCGACTACACCTGCCTGCGCACCTTCGAGGGCCACTCTCACAACGTCCTCAAGGTTGTCTGGCTACGCCTTCCCAAGGCCGCCGACGGCGAAGACGAGGCTGCTGCTGCCGCCTCCAAGGCCAAGCAGCGCATTCAGTTCGCGTCTGCGGGTGCCGACTCCCTCGTCAAGGTCTGGGACGCCAACCTGGGCGAGACCGAGTGCACGCTCGACAACCACGAGGATCGTCTCTGGACGCTCACTGCGCACCCCAAGACCAACATGCTTGTGTCTGGTGGTTCCGACTCCCGTGTAACCTTCTGGAAGGATACCACGGCCGAGACCCACGCTGCCGCCTCCTCCGCCGCCCTCAAGCTCGTCGAGCAGGAGCAGCAGCTCGAGAACTACATCCACGCCGGCGCCTACCGTGACGCCATCATCCTGGCCCTGCAGCTCAACCACCCCGGTCGTCTGCTGGGTATCTTCACCAATGTGGTGACCACCAACGCCCCCGAAGAGGGCTCTCTCTCCGGTATCAAGGCCGTTGATCAGGTGCTTGGTAATCTCTCGGACGAGCAGATCTTCCTTCTCCTCCTGAGGTTGCGCGACTGGAACACCAACGCGCGCACGGCTCCTGTGGCGCAGCGCATCCTCTGGGCGCTCGTCCGACTATACCCTGCCGGCAAGTTCTCCAACCTATCGGTCAAGGGCGCGAGGGGTCAGAAGAGTTTGAAGGAGGTTCTCAATGCGTTGAGGGTGTATACCGAGAGGCACTATAAGCGCACGGAAGAGCTGGTCGATGAGAGTTACCTTGTCGAGTACACTCTGCAGGAGATGGAGAGCTTGGCGCCCTCGGCGGTCGAAGAGAAGGATGGTGATTTGGCCATGGCTGATGCGTAGATTTTCTTGTTTTGAACTGTTGAAAGCATAAAGAACGGGCTGGGAAAAGTAGCAGTAGAGCCTTTTTGACATGGGATGAAATAATGTGATACCAAGTTTGAAACACATACACGTATAGACTGAATGATGGCGTCTGGTTTGCTGATTGCCTTGTTGTCAATGAAGTTTTGTTCTCTGTGAGAACGCAAATATCCCATAATATCTCTTTTCGCTTCCCAGGGTATCAATGTTGCGTGTGTAGTGTCGGCCAAGTCCCATATTGGCCCTTTGCTTCAGTAAGCCTCTTCCATACCTCATCCTTGTCATGACTTACTCACCCTGCCTCAAGCAGTCACAGAAGACTTTTAAACTTCTTGGCCCAATCCGAAGACCGAAGCTTGTCTGTACTGGATGCCTCTCTCCTATTTCTTTTTCCCAGCCCTCGTCTTCTCCTTGACCTTGGCAGCCTTGAGCTTGTCAACACAATCCTTGATCACAGATTGAAGGTCGCTATTCCGCCTAGCAAGCAGAAGCACGTCATCTGTGGTGACAGTGGTACGCCCGGCGTGTTGGCTGAAGGTTTCCAAATCGATGGCGACGTTTTCTGATGCCCATAAGTCAGTATAAAAGCACCTATTGTCTAAGCTAAGAGAAAATGGCGTACCTATCTGAGTCCACACAAGCTCGGTAAGAGCTCCGATGAACTGGGGAGTGGCATTCATATTGCGACGAAGCGACTCATCGTCGACCATCTTGCCTATGGCGAACCATAGGGCTGATTTGAGACGCTGCTGTTGTTTAACATCTGAAGTGAGGCTTACTGACGGAAAAGAAGGAAACCTACCTCCTGGACGTCTTCACCCGAGGCGTCGGCCATTTTTCGGATTATGTAAGTGGCTGACTTACACACTCATCTCACAAAAATACACCCCTCGTTCAAGCGCTCGTTCAATGATGTTCGTTGGGGGAGACGCGTCGAGCGCGTCGGTAGTGGGGTAACCCTGCGGCTCGCACTTGCCGTAAAGTGGATTACGTAATGCGGCTAAAGTTCCACCGAGTGCCTGCCAAGGGACATGCTCGGTGGGGCATTAGGGAATGGCCCTTCGGCGCTGGTGGGGTCCCCGAAGTTGATGTAACCTGTACGTCCATATCAGCGGTCGGTCCCCGTGCCGTCGGCGTCCCGAGTGGACGTTTCTCGCGCAGAGGATGGATTTATGGAGCACTCACCAGCCCGCCGCAAGTTCGCAAGTGCCAATTGCCAGTTCAACACTTTTTTTCTACCCTCCTCCTTTTCAGAACAGAACTCTAGAGTCTTCTTCTCTTCTTCTTCTCTCTTCAACTCCGGCAACCTCGGATCCTTCTATGTAATACCTTCTTCAAACTAAACATCTTCTTCTCCGTACTTTAATCAGTTCAGTCAGCGAAAGCTTTCCATCCGCCGTTTCTTTACAACAGAGTTGTCGCAAGTACACCAAAGCGACCTCCACTCCCACCGCCCTTTGCGCAAAGAAGCCTAAAGACACCACCACATAACCAACCAAACCACGCTCGAACAAAAAAAAGGATCAAGATGGACGGAGTAGTTCATGTCGTAACGGTCCTGGGTGATCGTATCTCCAACAATGTCAAGGGCACCTTTGCCAGCATGACCGCAGAGAAGTGGATTCGCCTGATCATCATTGTCGGAGCTTGTGAGTAGCCTCATTCCCAAGAGCGCAGATGCGTAAAGATATTTAAAGAAGTACAGCAGCTGACAATGCGCCATCACAGATGCCCTGTTGCGCCCGTACATCATCAAGCTCGGCGGAAAGGCGCAGATGCAGCAGCACGAAGACGAGTCCGCTGAAGCCATCAGGGGCACCATCTCCCCCAACGAGCTGCGCGGACAAAAGGCCATGGTCCGTCTTCCCGGTGAGGACAGCGACTCGGAAGACGACGAGGCGCAAAACGGAGAGTCTTCGGCGGCCGACTGGGGCAAGAAGGCCCGCAGGAGACAGCGCATGGTTATCAAGAAGCTCATTGAGGCCGAGGAGGACAGACTTCGGGAGACCCAGGAGGAGGAAGAGGATAAGGATATTGAGGAGTTCCTACTCAAGGAATAGAAACATGGGTTCGGGCTCGGGTTTTGGGTATGACTGACGTTGGATGAATTACATACATTAAAAGACGGATGACGGACGACCAACAACGCATAATAATCAAATAATAATATATTCACAAGACAATAGGTACATCGTACGGAGTGTACGAACTAGTCCTGCTTGCATGTGATACGGCTAAAGACACTGTGCTTGGGGAAAGGTGGAACATTGCAACCTGCATTCTGCGGGTGGAACAAGTCTCGGCGTGCAGCCAAAGGGAAGGCAAAGCGCATTCAAAGGGGCCCACTTCTACGTCCTTTTAACATTCACTCACCTTGCACTTCACTTCAATCACCAAACCTCCAAACCTCATTTTCGACGCCCACCCTACAAATTACTTCCCAGGCGAACCCTATCAAGCATTATCACAAATCATCGCTATACAGCATCTCTATATACGGTTCTACAACAAATTCTTGGACCCTTGCTTCACCACCAGCGAAGTCATCAAAATAGCTTCATCGCCATCAGCGTCAGCGAAGCATACCAGCGGGACTCACCAGCAAAGAGTCCTTCTCGCCCAACCCCCTGCCAACCCAACTAAAAACCAAGAAGAGATATTTCTTCATACCACAGCCCAAAAACACAATGGCTAATATCACAAAAGATGAAGCCATAATCCGCTCCTCAGGCGAAGGTATGCCCACTTAACCCACCCTCTCCCACGCACTCACCCACTCTCACCACCTATTTCACACACACTAACACACCCAAAAAACAGCCGCCCGCGCCTTCACAGACTGGTACTATACGCAACTCACGGACGGCAAGCCCATCACCTCCGCCTACGTTAACTCCAACGCCAAGTATCTGGCCGCGTCCCACCCGCCGGCAGACATCTGCATCAACGGCACCGTGGTGGCCACGCCCGAAGAGTGGGACGCTCTGCTGGAGCAGCAGCGCCTGATTCCTTTTACCGGCTCCAAGGGAAAAGTCAAGTACGAGGTCGAGGGGTTCGACGTGCACGTTATCAACAAGGATTACCGGTTTGCTGCGCCGGCGGAAATCCAGGCTGCTACCGACGCGAAGCTGATGCAAAGGACGGAGGACGCACGCCTGATGATGGTTGTTACTGTGGCGGGCAGCGTGGTGTTTGGAGGAAAGGAAAAGGGGACGCCGCCGAAGCAGCATTTCTCGGATGTCTTTGTGTTGGTGCCCAATTGGGACTTTGTCACGAGGCCCAAGTTCAAGGGCCACAAGAGGTATTTGGTTGCTAGTCATACTTACAGGGCGTACTAGAGGGTACCGCGGCTATGAGGGGATGATGAAGGTGGTTGGAAGCAACGTGAGGATGTATGTGGTGAGCGGAGGTGGGAGGAGCGAAAAGGGGACAAGCGGGGAATTATAGAAGGGATATATCAAAGGGGTTTTTTGTGCTTTGCTTCAGCGTTTACGGTAGCTTATGGAATTTGGCGTCAGGGACGGAAAAAGAGAAGGATTTCAAATATCGCTCTATGGTACTCGAAGAGAAATGGAACATATGAGCAACCGATCGCACGAAATACACATGATAGAAGGTATCCAAACGGTCAGAGAATAGTCAATAGTCCATATTGATTTTTCTACAACACAACTAACAAAGTGATCCGCTTGGTATTCCTACATTGAATAATCCAAACTACCTCTACCAGGTGCCCTTGACCTTAACAGTATGCTCGCTACTTGGGAGCTATCCTATGACTGCTTTCGATACTACTTATAGTTCCCACTCCGATATTATCCATTTCTTAAAATAACCTCCCAATCCTCCCCCAAATTCGAAGCAGCCTCCTAAACCACCGTAACCTCCTCGGCCTTCTCACTCTCCTCAACCACCTTCTCACTACTACCCTGTGTCAAACACTTTCTCCTCCACTCCCAATACCCCCGACGAATCCGATCCCACTTCTCCGCCAACCTCCTCAAACACAAATCCGCCTTCTCACTCTCCCCCTTCTCCGCATAAATCTCCGCCAAAAAATCCAATGCATGCGTACTCCTCACCTCTTCTTGGTCATCACCCTCTCCAAGCTTCACCACAAATTCCTCCACAAATTCTTGCACGCTCGCCAATTGCCGACCACCCTTAACCAAAACGCCCCGCATATAATTCCACGGGCTCTGATTCTGCGGTGCCAGGTATACCTTAGTCTGGGCATACTGCACTTCTCTGTCCACCAACTCCTGGGTGACCTTGTCATCCCTTTCCGTCGCGCCCTTGCCCGGCGTAGCGTACTTGGGGTTGGAGAAAACGAGGAAAAATCGATGCGACCAAGCGCTGTTGTTGCGCACGTCCTCATCAATCAGCGTCTCGATCGACTTGAGTTCCTCGGAGTCTTCCCACATCTCCAGCTTGCCCACCAGCCACGAGCGGTACGACCAGACGTGATAGTTCTTGGTGTCTTCCGAGAGGATGGCGATGAGGAAGTCACGCTCCTGTTTGGCGAAGTGGGCTAGGGCCTCGGCGTCCGAGGCGATGGTGGGGTGATAGTGCTCCACTAGCAAATGGCGGTGGTGCCAGATTTGGTAGTTCTTGAGGTTGGCGAGCGCGACTTCGTTCAGCCACTCGATTTCGTCGGGGATGGAGAGGCCCAGGGCAAAGATGTTGGCGGCCCGGTAGAGCCAGACGGTGTAGTGCGCGGCGTTCATGCCGATGATGTGTTCGGTTAGACGGAGGCAGCGGGGGGAATACTCCTTTTTGGACATGACGGCGCGGAGGTAGGACATTGCTGTTGTTTTTGGGAGGAATTAGCTTTTGTCATGGCAAAGTATAGTAGTATATGGGAGGGGAGGAAGGGAAGGAGACATAAACATACCCTCAGCATACTCGGCCGGATAAGCAATCGCCGCCAGCGCGCCCTCTGGCTCCTCATGGGGGGTAGGCACCACATCCTCCCAGTCCACGCTGCTCGCCAGCTTCCCCGTGATCTCGCCGTACAGTTCCTTCTTGAGCGCAGTCATCTTGCTTCGTCGGACCTTTTCCTCGTCGATCTCTCGTTCCGTAACAATAATTTCCTGCCCGGACCTAGCGTCGACAAACCCTCTCTTCTCGCGCTCAACGTTCTCCCGAAATACTCTGCTCGACACTTGGAGCGCTGTCAAGGCGGCCCGCTTCTTTATCCTCTCGTCGAACCGCTCGATGCTATAGCTGCCGACGTCGTGGCCGTTCCGGTCGGTGCCCCAGGTAGTATGTGCTTTCGGCTGCTGCTTGAGTCCGCGAACGATCGAGTTGGTCCCGTTGATGGTCCACCAAATCTCCTTGGACGCTTTAGGGCTGAGGAGGCGAGCGCGGCTAGCTGCGGGCAGGCGGTTGGTCAGATGGAGGAGCTGATCGCAGATCCAACCTTTCTGGTCTTCTTTGGAGAGTTTGCTGAGTCCGTGTTGTCGACGGGCAGCTTCGAATGGACGGGTCTTTTCGTAACGTTGTTGGCTACGTTCGAGTACAGTGGTAGGTTCTGATGGCTCCTGCGATGATGCTGTTTGGCTAGTATTCGTCGTGGTGGTAGTGGTGGGATTGGTTGTCGCTGGAGCTGCTTTGAATGGAGGAGGCGCTCCTGGTTAGCTACACCTTTCTTCAAGTATTGTACCACTCAACAGACGGACTAACTGCAAGCAGAAAACAGGGTAGAAAGACAAACAGGAAACTCTCGAGGTCGAGGATACGAAAAAGAAAACTTACGTTCGGTTGCTTTGGGCTTTGTGGCCGCTTTGCTTTTGGGCGGCATTGTTTATGAGGTGGTTGCTAAGGGGGAAATGGTGGGGTCTTAAAGCGGAACGGGGACCTTGCTGAACCCATTGATTTGCGGTCGTCGGATTGTGATAAGATACAAACATAAGTGACGAGAACGTCAGAAGCCGATGGCGTATTGAACAAAACAATCGCTACTTCCAAGCTAGCACAATACTTAAAACATCATATGCACGGGATTATCATGATCTTCATGGTAACCGCAAACATCGCTTGTCGCCCTTTTTTTTCTCTCCTGACTATTCCCTTCTGCTGTACTTATCCCAAAAGGTGCCCCTGAAGTACATAGACTAGTACCTTTGTTACTTCCCGCTCAGTCACTTCACCTCCTCCTCACCAGCGAGCAACTCCCTCATATTGCCTTCCAGACAATCCTTTAGTATATACACCTTATTAAATAGGTAATACTCATTACGTAGTAATCTTTCCACCTTCACGCCCAGCAAGAATAGAACGCGATATGTACAACTGAAGTGAGGAAGTTTAATAGGGGAATTGCCTCCTGCTGCCAGCTCCTTTTAGGTATCGTGGGATGAGAAACCCTCAACACCTTGCCTGTCATCCCTTGCTTGCCTGCACACAAAAACATGGGACGGGCTCTATTACCGTCCAACCCATTAGTCCCGGTTCTCAACCCTCCAGAACTTCCAGCCCTCTCGCTCGCCCCGGTCACCGTGTACACCGACAAGCTTCTCAAGCGCCTCGTTACTGTCCGCGCTGAGGAACTTCTCAAGGTCAATCTCCATGCCGCCCTCCTCGTCCTCATCCATGCCGTTCTTCAGTACAGCCGGCCAAAGCACGCCAACACCGTCGCTACCAAGTGTTGTCTCGAACTTGGAGTACCCCTCCTCATCCAGCTGCTTCTCCAGCTTATCGAGCTTCTCGCGCGGCACATTCGGCCGCAGAAGCGTGATGGAGCATCCGCCACCGCCCGCACCAGTGAGTTTCGTCCACCCGATCCCCTCATGATCCACAAGCTCGCGCACGCGCTCCAAACGGGGGTGCGACACGCCCAGCGATACCAGCAGGCCGTGGTTGATGGTCATCATCTCGCCCACCTTGCTCAGGCTCTCCTCATCCTCCGTGTTGAACCCTTGCTCCTCAATCAGCTGCGCAGAGCTGTGCGTGACCTGGTCGATGGCGGTCAGGATCGTGCCCACCAGCTGCGGGTGCTTCTTCTTTAGCGTGGCCACCTTGGCGACCTCATGCGCTGTTGACTTGGCCGTCCTGGTATCTACGAGGAGCAGCGGGAGCTTGGGAAAGTCCCACAGGGGCCGCACGGAGGGTGGCTGGTTGTAGTCTGTCCGTTGGAAGACAACCGCCTTGCCCTGTGTTGATACCGTGTTGTCCACGCCCGACGGGTTGCCGTGGATGAACATCTCATAGACAAATGCCCACCGGTTGATGCGCTCGATTTGTAGCCTGGCCTCCTCGGGAGGCTGGTCGGGATGGGGACCGGACAGTGTCCGAAGCTGGAGAAGGAGCGCTGCCGACAAGCAGACGGCAATGGTAGCGCTACTGCCCAGGCCGGCTCCGATGGGAATCGTCGAGCGCAATGTGTACTGGCAGCCGGGGAACGACTGCGAGCCGAGGGAGAGGAACATGTAGAGGAAGGAGCCGGCCGAGTTCTGGTGCACCTTGCGGATGTCGGCGGGCTTGTCTATCGAGACATCGGCGAGGAAGGGTTGTACGGCGTCAACGAGTTCTTGGTCGATCTCGGTGACGAGGCTGTAGTAGTACTTCTTTTTCCCTGGTTGCTGGAAGATCTTCCATGGGAGCTCGTCGATATTCCACGAATGATCGAACTCGATATCGGGGAACTTCAGCGTTACAGTTCTCTTAGACTTGGAAAGCGTGTTGACGAGCAGGTAAGACCGCAGGGAGATGGCGGCAGCAATCGCAGCCTAAAACAGAAACAGCTGTTAGCCTCTGATGATGTTTACCCCCCTTTTCTGACACCCATACGAACTTTGCGCCCACTCAACATACCTTGCCGTGAACCACAGCGTGCTCTCCAAACACAATGACCTTTCCTGGCGCCGAGACCATGAAAGTCGGCATCATAGGACTGGATTTTTTGCGCTCCATCTTCTTTCGTATGGGTGTTATTGTGCCGCTGGTAGGAGAGCCCCCGTTGACGGAGCTGCTGGCGCTTTCTTGGATGGTCACTCTGAGACCACCATTGCTGGTGTTTCCGTTGACGGCTTCGCTCGCACCGCCGTTTATGTGTTGGTCTCCTTGCTCGGACTCGAATTGGAATCCATTGACTCCGTTGGGTTCTTGCTCCGCCATGGTTGGGTGGTTTTCTTTGTGTGTATGTAGTACGTAATCGACCCGAGCGACCCTCGGTATGTGTTTGCGACACCAACGCCAACAACAATGCTAAGCGGGAGGGGTCCTTCAAAGAGGGACTATATGTACAGATCCGGCGCAACTGGTTGAACTGTGGAATCGCCAACAGGTATGATGGCTGAGTACTAGTTCACGTTGAGGTAGAACTGTGCCGTGGTGCTGAGGTGATGAAGAGCGAGTCGGCGTGGCCGTGAATCAGCAATAAAGGCAACCGAAGCTGCCTAGATAGGGTAGAGGTATGTAAGATATTGGAGCCCTAAAGGAATTGGGGGACTCGAGAGGACAGATAGGTCCACGAAGCAAGTGAGGGTATCGCGGCGTAGGTGTGGTGGTGAAGCAAGCGGGCGAAACGGGGGTTGCTGATATACTGCCGATCTTTTTCTTGCTTTCGGAGTCTGCAAGGTCCAGACGACGGATGTTATGCGGAGGCTGCGGACGAGGGCGATTGGTGTTCCTGATACGCCAGATGACCACAAGTTACACAAGGTGACAAGCCCCAGGACGTTTGCGATGCAAATAATCTTGCAGACGTGCCGTGTTGAGGTTGCGCAAAGTCAGAGTTTGAGGTTGGATGGCGTTGTCAATTGGTGTTGACTTGGGTTGATTGGGTGCCGAGCGAGGGGTGCCAACTTGTGATTGAAGCAACTGCGGGCGGAGAGTGTGTAAGAAAGGGGCCCCGTTACGTGGGGAAAGGGGGTCCGGAGTCAAAGCGATAAAGCCAGAGAAGCTTTTATGTACACCAGCAGAGAGAGGTCGGTGGGTTCTAGATATCTTCCCTTTTTTCCCTATCCCTATTCAACAGCAACGGTGCCTGATGCCATTCTTGTTTTTTCCCTGCTGTCCGCTACAACCGAAACTATCTACGCCTAATCAAAACTCTTTGCCATTGGAAATTCCAGCCCGCACGCCGAAGCCGCTACTTTCCATACAGAAAAGGGGTTGTCATCATGGACCTTTATTGACAGGGGGGCTTCTAGCTCTGGATTTCCTTCTCAAAGCCGTTGATTGGCGCTTTCCGGCCTTCTGGATTCTCAACACAACGCTAGCTTCCGGTGAACTGGACAACGCCTCAAACAGGGAGGGGCAGAGGGGGGAACATCGGGAGATCACAAAACAACAGGGGCTTTGGACAAGGGGAGCTTCTGCTGCTTCAGGCTCCTCACTCAACTGACAACTGCCCCATCGTCAGTCGAGTCTGGACTGCAACAGGCAAAAGAAAGCGTGGCATCACCCAGTATCTCTCTTGGTTCTGCAGGATAAACAAAACACCAGGGTCTTGGAGAAGAACAACGAAGAAAGTCCACAAGTCTGAATCCTTGCCGTTTCCCAACTGCCCTAGACCTAGGGCTAGACCACGCTTGTTGTCGAAGCTGTGAATTCCAATCGACAAATGTCAGGTGGTTACCTGGACTTTTCCTGTTTAGACTCGGTTTGTTGGGTTCATTCCTGGCTATATTCTACCTAGATGAGCTAGGGTAATGACGAGGGCTTCAACTGCGTTTCGACATGTTTGTCGATGTGCATAGGTATATGAGTTGGCAATATGCACCGCAACCCGAAGACTTTGGAGATGCCCGATTTACAAAGATCGTTGTGCCATTTGCCGAGAACTCCCGCGGTAACATCTCCGACATCAGCAGGGATCTTTTGTGAAGATGATTGTAAACTTATCATCGCATCCAAGCTTTGTAGCATAGTTGCTGCTCATACACTTTGCGCGGGTGACGACCGGCACAGCTCCCATTGACGTTGAATCACAGAGCATCATAATGGACATGATCTGAAGGATGTGGTAAACATGGACGGCACGATTCCTGGAAAGGTGCATATAATCCATGGAACGCCCAAAGTGTGTCGCGTATGAATACGAATTCCGAAGCAGCCTAATTTGTATTTCCTGTTGCCGGGATGAATGAGACTATAAAGTGAACTTTAACCACTACACGCATATGTTGTTACCAAGTTCAGAATTTGCTGCATTGCAAAGCGTTGAGGCCCTGAAGCTCATACTCACACACCGGCTTTACTGCAAAGGCATATCTCAACAATGACCGTCACCGAGATCGCCATCCTCCGCGTTCACGCCGGGGTCACCGACTCTACCCTCCGAGACACCCTCGGCGGAGCCACTCCTATCCAAGAGGCATGGCACGCCCGCACTTTTCCCGATCGCCCCTCTTCCGCCTCGGCACGGGCCGTAGCTTGTTTCCGAGGGATCAGCGACGAGACGCAGATAACTATCACAACAAACTGGGGCTCCGTGGAGGAGCATTGGCAATGGATCCTCAGCGACGACAACAAGCAGCTGATGGAGGGTTCAAACTTGACCAAGATCATCGCAAACGAAGGGCCGCCCAACCAGTCAGGCGGACTCGGCCTTTTCCACTTGGATACCGACATCTTTGGTAATAGCCATGCTGCTACCAGCAAAGACACAATTGCGCTCCTCGATAGCCCGGTCATCGGTCTTGAACGATTCGTTGTCGACGCCGAAAAGAAGGAGATATTTGCCGAAACGCTCGAGAAGGTGAAGGCCAGCATGGCAAAGGTCGTACAGCCTCATTTGGTCAAAAGCGGGCACGTTGCCGATCGTGAGGCGGATGGCGAGGAGTTCATGCTGGTTTCCGGGTGGTCCTGTGTCGAAAGTCATACGCAAGAGTTCGCTGCGTCGTCCGAGTCGTTCCTGTACGGTCAGCTTGCTGGCATCGCTTCGTCGGTGGAAACACAGCACTACAGGCGATTCCTGTAGTGCCTCTCTTGTCACTCAGACACTTGGTTGGAAAAATGCGCGGGTCTCGGGTCCTAAAAATTGGTCGCTCATGAATGTGTATTCAGACCCTCTGCAAGGGGTTGGTTTGCGGTCGCTGAGACCTTGACAACTAAATAGTCATCGCGTTTCTCTGAAGACCTGTCCGCAACTGCTCCCGCAATTGCTCCTGTTCCCAATCCCATGAAGGTTTCCCCCGATCCGAGAACGCCGTCTTAGTTCGCGAGAATTAAATGTCCAGCACCAGAACCAGGCAGTTGAAATCGTCATTCATTCGCTTCCCAGTCGCCCAAAAGCAGCCATCATTTCCTCATTGTCGGGAAATTTAAGCAGTCTGCTTCTTGTTGCGCTTAGCAACGTCGGCGATGGTGAGGGCTAGGTTGGCATGTTAGTTCCATCATTCTCTCGCAGCTATCCTTCGTTGTCCATCTCTTCCTCTCGATCAGATATTCAGGGTCGGGGAGAGCGTACAAGGAGGAAGGGAAGCCTTGAGCTTCTCAGCCTTCTCGGAGTCCTTGAGAACAAGGGTGTACAGGTACTTCTGGCACCTGACCTTGAACTTGATCTGCTGGGTGGACTTGTTCTTCTTGATCCGGGCGGCTGTAGGTTGAAAGCGACTCTGTTAGAATTTCGTTCGGTTTTCGCGATGGTGTTTCTCGGACAGGCCCTCAGCCAAACATACCGGAAGCGTCCTTGCGCCGGCAGATCTCGATGAACTGTGATTGAAACGAAAGTCAGCAAAGAAGTCCCAATTGCAGCAGACATGCACAATTTCAGCATGACGACGTACCTTCTTGATATCTCCGATTTCCTGAGGCATTTTGGCGACTTGGTGCTGGACTTCCCGTACTTGTGGTGACGACGACAACGGAGTTCAGGAGCGTGGATGAATTTTAGGTACTATGGAAATAATTTTGTGTGGGTTTGGGGCCTGGGCGGTGCGAGTGGCTTGGCGGGGGTGCGTGCGGGCAATGGGCCGCTAACGCGATGCACCCTTGTTTCCGCTGTCACTTCTCCCAAATCACACATGCCGGCGTTAGCGCAAGCTCCAAGTGTGGCTGATGCTGCACTTTTGGGGAACTGCTTTTCACTTTGGCAGACGCTGTGACGCAGGAGCTCGTGTGGCGTCGACTCACCTCAATCCAACGAACAGTCACCGTTGGACCATCTGGAACATCTGATTGCGAAAGTTCGCCTTGAAGCTCGGTCGCAACTCGTGGAGGCCTTTCGAGGACACGATTTCAATTTGTGTACCCATATAGTATATAACCAGAAATCAATCACGCGGTCTTACCTAGAGCTTCTTTTTGTTCCAGATCAAGTGCCACCTCATCAGCCAACTTAGTTTGGGCGTTAATGTTTAACAGCGCGCCTACCCCTCTTGCCTAACCACCACTTACAAGACAATCCCCTTCCGAACTACTTAAACATGCCCACGCCACTGGATAAAGCTTTGAGATCACGAGTGAGTTTTATCTCTTCACCACAACTCAACATACCGAATCAATCATGCTTGTCGAATCTTTGCTGATAGTTTCCGCGAGCAAGAACGCATTTCTCGGTAAGCTTCTTGTTCAACAGTTGGCAGTCGACCGAAACATTAACTAACCCCACATAGCGTTCGCCGGCATCGTGACGGGAGTCGCCGCATGGTCTATCTGGGGGAGCGACGTCTTCCCTCAAGACCAGTCCGACCCCAAGGGCAATCCCGAGGAATGGACTCGCGAGGAAATGCGCAGATGGCTTACACTGGTGAGTTTCCGTGCTTAGTTACAAGCAGACAAATAACCCGAAGTTAATGTTGGGAGCTAATTGTTATCATCTCCAGCGTAATCTTCATCCACAAGAGTCGGACACCCGGGAGCAGCTACTGGAAAGGATACAAGCGAACATGAGAATCCCAAGAGAGTGAGATGTGGTACTGGAGGAAATGGAGGGTCCCGAAAAGCTCAAAAGCCCCACGATGTTTATACCCTTTGAAGAATACCTAGCATGCATTCAATTCTATGTTTCTATGACGGTGCTCCCCTAGTGGCAAGTCAGCGATGGTAAGGTCAGCCGGCGCTCGTAACGTTCTGTTCTCCTATCATACTTGCCATCCTCGTGATCCCGACCGCCGAGTCTATGAGCATAAACCGAGGAGACCAAGCGATATACCTCCACACAGATAGTTAGAAACCATCTTGATGTCAACAACAAACACTGTTTACATCCGAGAGTTCGTAGGGTAACCCGGCAACTGCATTGGAGACACCACGCTGCGCTCGCGGGGAACCTCTACGACAAGACTTATCGATAAGGATGACTATGTGGGGCGAGTCCAAAATTAACCCAATCACCATCTGTCAATCAACTGTGTGGCTGCGCCATACGTAACGGTACGTACCTGCAAGGAAGCTTCAAGCGGAACTGGAGCAAGGACAGGTTGTTGTTACTGTTTGTACCTTGCTGGCATTGTGCTTATAACCAATGCGACGGACAATCTGACACGGTCGTTTGACTTTCATTGTTCCAACAAACATCCATTTTGCGCATTCGGCGGCGCCTCAAGTAGACACGCCCTTATTGCGCGATGATGGAGTTTCTTCAGGTACGTTCTGCCAATTCACCCTTCTCTAACATCCAAGGGGAGCATCGGCTAACATGGCACTCTCCAACCGACAGCGTCTCGCGAGGTTCCTCGACCGGCCTCTCTTCCCCTGGAAGAAGCTGATCATCGGTTTCTCTCTCGCCAACTATTTCATCGAAGGTGTCCTCGGTTATCGTCAGTATCAGGTCCTCAAGAAGACGAAGGTCCCCAAGGTGTTGGAGCATGAGGTGTCCCAGGAGGTCTTCGACAAGAGTCAGGTACGATATCATCCCCCAGCTACGGGCCAACCGGCTATGGTTTCTAACACACATATACATATATAGGCATACGGGCGCGCCAAGGCAAAGTTCGAGTTTTTCAGCGGTATCTACGGTCAAATCCAAAACATCTTGTTCTATCAGTTCGACGTCCTCCCGAAGCTATGGTCATTCGCCGGCAACCTCCTCGTTCGGTTCGCGCCAGCCCGGTTCTCGGGCGAAATCTCGCAATCTATCGTCTTCGTCCTGTCCTTCGTTGTCATCTCCCAGATCCTCTCGCTGCCGACTAGCCTCTACCACACTTTCGTCTTGGAGGAGAAGTTCGGTTTCAACAAGTCGTCTGCCAAGCTATGGATTACCGACAAGATTAAGTCCCTCTTCTTGACCTTTGTGCTTACGCCTCCGATCCTCGCCGGATTTTTGGCTATCGTGCAGAAGACTGGAAACCAGTTCTTCTACTATCTCTGGGTTTTCGTCGCTGGTCTCCAGGTGGTCATGATCACCATCTACCCCATCTTCATTCTGCCCCTGTTCAACAAGCTCTCTCCCCTTGAGGAGGGCGAGCTCAAGAGCAGCGTCGAGGACCTGGCCAAGAAGCTCAAGTTCCCTCTCTCCGAGTTGCACGTCATTGATGGCAGCAAGCGCAGCGCCCACAGCAACGCCTACTTCTTTGGCATGCCCTGGAAGAAGCACATTGTCATCTACGATACCTTGATCGAGAAGAGCGAGACCCAGGAGGTTGTTGCAGTTCTTGCGCACGAATTGGGTCACTGGAAGTTGGGTCATACCACTAGCCTCTTTGGCATCTCCCAGGTAAGCGGATGCTCCTTTGTTGTCGTTTCCGCTGTTTGCCATGAATTGTGACTAACAATGCACAGGCCCACTTCTTCGCCATCTTCTCCCTCTTCTCCGTTTTCATCAACAACAACTCCCTCTATGCCGACTTTGGTTTCCACACGGTGCACCCTATCATCGTTGGATTCCTTCTCTTCTCGGATGTTCTTGGCCCTACCGACACCCTCATCAAGCTTGGCATGAACGTTCTCAGCCGCAAGTTTGAGTTCCAGGCCGACGAGTTCGCCAACAAGCTTGGTTACAATGCCGAGCTCGCTCGCTCCTTGATCAAGCTCCAAATCCAGAACCTTAGCACCATGGATGCCGACTGGTTGTTCGCCACCTACCACTTCTCACACCCCATCCTTACCGAGAGACTGAAGGCTCTCAACTGGCAGTCCACCGGAAAGGTTGAGCTCAAGGAGAAGGCCAAGGAGGTCGATGAAAAGACTGATGTTGCTACTGCCACTGGGCGGGATGAGCTCTAAGTTGGGGTAGGGATATGGAAGTGGGGGTGTTGAGGAGGAATTGAAACAAAGCTGGGATGTGGTCATCACAAGCGGAAGGATATCATACCCATCAGTAAAAGAGTACCCTACTCTACGTTACCTTTGAATTGTCATTTCATAGAGAAGCTAGAAAGAATCTATTGCCAATTACTGGATAGTCCTTCCACTATGAACCATGGTTTTCTTTATGCTATTCGCCGTCAATCTGCCCTGCGTTGATCTTGAATGCTACGACCTTGTGAAGCCGTGACGGGTTGCGGTAGGACATATACACAACCCTAACCCTCAAAGTTATTCCACAGCAGCTGGCAACCGGGTGCAAAAAGCCTCCCCGGACCCCGGCCGATCAATCGAACTTTGGACGGAGCCGATCCAGCAACCGCGCCCGCTCGTCGCGAACCACCCCCATAGGATCCGTTCCCGAAACAGTTGTTGTTCGTCCCGGCGCATTCGGCCTCGCCCGGTCCTGATTTCACCCCGCATTTCTTCGACGTCAACCACCAACACCACCACCACACCGGCGACGACCACATCTGCCGACAAGATGTCCAGAATCTTCTCGTCGGTCCTCCAGGCCGCTTTCAGGCCGAGCGCTTTCCTCCCCAAGACTGCCACTCGGTACGTTTAACCGTCTACTGCGCGCCCTACCATTTGCTTTCCTTCATTCCGCATACCTCGCCTACCTCACACAAGTCCTCCACACTAACCCATGTGCTATGAATTTCAATCCAGTTCCTTCTCCATCCTCCCCTCCCTCCGCCCCACCTTTTCTTCTCCCAGTACCACGACGATCGTCTTCCGCGCTCCCCAAGCCATCACTGCGCCCTCCGCTTCCTCCAGTGTCACCACCGGCCTTGATGGCGAAGTCCTCGACGTCCTCTCCGCCTCCTCCTTGGTCTCTTCCCACCCGGCCCTTTCGGGACTGGGCTCCCAGATCCGCTGCGGCCCGCGCCCGACGATGAGCGGCGCGACAAGGCTGGTGCAGAAGCGCAGACACGGGTTCCTGAGCAGGATCAAGACCAAGAACGGGCAGAAGACGCTGAAGAGGAGATTGGCTAAGGGGAGACTGAGGTTGAGTGCTTAATTTGCACTTGGCTCTTTCTATTTGAGGTGTTGAGATGTTGAGACGTTGGACCTTCGACGGTTTGAGTAGGGGAGGGGAGGGGAGGGACGGCAGCCAGTATGGGAGGCAAGGGAAGCAAAGGAGGCAATGGACGCAAAGGATGCAACAGGGAAAGGAAACGGAGGGAATTGCAGGAATCCGAAATCGAGCGAGGCTTGCCCGTCCGTTCATCCGTTCGACTACCCATACATTTTCCACTTTCTCCTGTTGAGTTTGGCTCAGCTGGTACTCAGCTGGTATACGACTGGACCGACCGACCGACCGACCGACTCTTCCGCTTCTTGAAATTGGAATTACAGACCCAGCCAGCCAGCCAGGTCACGAAGAGGTGGTTGGTTGGTTACATGGGCAGAAGGAAGAGGAAGAGGGGGGGCCAAACTTCCATACTTCGGATCGTTTCGACCTGACATCTACGACGGGAGGAGCATAGCGAGCGAACGAAGAACCCACGCAGACGTTTTATGGGAGGGGGGAACCGGACTCAAAAGCTTGGAAGCTTGGTCAACCGTGGAGAATACCTACTGGAATGCTGGGACGTCACTGTATTACAGCCGCAGACGAGGCCAGAACGAACCACACGAACGAGCTCTGTTAAGGTGTCTGACTTTGTGTCTGCACTCTCTCAATGGTCCATCGAATGGTAACCGAATCTCATCTCAGCCTTTACCTCACATTCCTCCCTGTCTTTTCCTTTCCTCTCTTACCCATTAGGTGAAGGAGAGCACTTGTATATTATGAAAAATACGACCTGTTATACCCACCCATCAATCACTCAAAGTTCTTTGCCCACCTTTGCTACATGTCTTTTCCACCTGACAGGACTTAGGAACTATATATCATACACATGATGACTTTCGGGACGGAATTCTGGGCGCAAGCGAGCAATTTTTGTGCAAATCTATCCGTTCTATCTATGCAATCCGACGTACCTACCGTGGAGGTTGACTTCGAACTCTTCAGTTCTTTCTATTTAGTCCAGATGTTACTTTGACTGCCAAGTGGCAGTTCTCAGAGATATTCTTCGAAATCACGTCATAAGACACCAAGGTATCCCAAAAAAAAAAAAAAAAAAAAAAAAAGATGACAACAAAATAGGAGCAGCAGACAACAAAATAGGAGCAGCAGAATACTCAATCATACCATCATGAAGATTGTTCCAATCCCAGCCAGATCTTCCAAACTTTCCGTCCTTCACAAGAGTTACCCCTTATTTTACTTTATTTGGTTCTCACAATCTCCACGTTTAAGCCTCGGTCTCCAGGTTGTTGCTGTTGACATAGTCAACATCCTCAGCAACCCACGTGTTCAAGCGAGCCTCGAGCTCCTCATCAGAGACGTTGGAGGCAGCAACGTTAAAGTCGTCCCTCTTCCAGTTGAAGCCACCAGCTGAGCAGTCCGCGATGCCGCCGAAGTAGTCGAGGTGGTCATCAACCTCCAGACCAAGAGTGCCGGCGTTGCAGCTGATGCTGGCGTATCCGGTGCAGATCTTGACCTGGCTGGCAGTGGGCGAGGGGACCTTGAGCCACCACTCGGGGGAGGTGTGGCGGTAGTTGAAGACGATGGGAGGAAGACGGGGCACGGGGTCCTTGTCGTGGGTGACGCGGTACTCCTCGCCGGACTGGCTGGTGGTGAAAGCGGCGAAGGCCTTGTTACCGACGCGGGGCGAGCCGAAGGTATAGAGGTCGGCGGTGTAGCCGGCCTTACGGAGGTAGGCGGCGGCAACGGTAGCGACGGCACCGCCGAGAGAGTGGCCAGTCACACCGATGCTGTAGCTGGGGTAAGTGGCCTTGGCGGACTTGACGGCCGCGGTAACCTTGGTCGCAACCTCCTTCCAGGCGGTGTAGAAGCCGGTGTGGACGAGACAGCCGCTCACGAGGTCACTGCAGGAGGACTGGACGAAAACGACGCTGGATGGATGTCAGCTGAGGCCCTCCTGTGGTACAGGATACGGACTCGGTGTTCGACTTACTTGGCAATCCAATTGCGGACTGAGGAGGATCCCCTGAAGGAAACAGTGATAACCTTCTTGACAGGGTCAACCGAGACGACGCCGCGGATATCAGTGACGGTACCCCTTTTTTGACTTGTTAGAAGCTTCATTATCAGGACTGTGTCTGTATGGAGCCTCTTACTGGAAAGAGGCAATCGTCTTGGCCTTGTTGCTGACGAGGTAGGGCAAGCATTGCTGGAGCAAGCGATCAGAGCGCCGGCAGCGTTGTTGCTGTTGCAATAGCTGGTGGCAGCTTGCTCAGCCCAGTAATCGAGCTTGGTAAGCTCGCTGGCGGTGACAGTGACTGGAGAAGGCTGGTTAGCTTCCGGTGCATATCATGAGGTGGTGTAGTTGTCGTGGACTTGCCTCTCTTGGCCACCTGAGGGCTCGTTGAGGGCGCCGCCAGACCGGTGGCCGCCAGGGCGGAAGCCAAAAACAGAGATGCCTTCATCTTGAGTTGGAGAGATGGGTATTCCAGAGAGAAGAGAAGACAGTCCACGGGATCCGGCCCTTGCGAGAATCAGGAGTAACACTGAACCTGTGCCTGCTGCAAGGGAGAGTCGAGAAGGGAGACAGCGGGCACGTCGTGATTTTTATACTCAACACCATCACCAGCCGAGACACCATGTGGCCGTCCGTCGAGAAAATAGTGAAGAGGGGACAAACATCCCTTCCACCGCGCGGCCCTCCATGGATCCAACCACCCACCCACACTGCTTACTCCCTTCTCCCTCCCGATGTATCGTCAACCAGGATTTTGTCTCAATTCCTCCGCAGAGATGGAGGGCGGCCAGGATCGACTGGGTAAGGTTCGGGGACATTGGGCCAGGAACACGGCAGCTAAGAGCCAAACAATGCGGAGACTAGTTTAGTCTCGCTAAGCACAAATGGGCCGGACTCGTTGGACCGGGACAAGATCGTCAACGGAGCTAAGCATTGGAGAGGAGTGGGTGCAGTACGAGGGTGGTCGAGAGACACACTTCTATCAACTGTCAAGAAAGTCGTGCTTCCCGTGTGTTACCCCTCCCACGCCTCCAAACCGCAGCCTGGGCAAGAACACCCACCGCACACCTTGTGTCGTTTCCCTAATGACCACGAAGGAGATCATCCTCTGACCTTCCACACTCGGGGTTAGAGGCACGGCGGTCTGGTGGTTAGCACAGCCGCCAAGTTGTATAGCGCTCCTGTAGGTGCGGTGGGAATGGGAAGGAGGCCAAGGAGAGGAGGGCACTAGAGGAGAGTATACTGAAGGCTAGAAAGATGTGATAGAGATCAGTGTGTTGCAGAGAGCACTAGGGGATTTCGGTCAAGTGATCATCTTGATACTAGTTTAGAACGTTCCCCTGCTATTCTAAACTGTACACTAGGCCGGACCCTCCAAGAGTATCCAAGAGCGTCCAAGAGGGTACCGGGACCGCAGCCACGTGCACCGTGAGAGATCAACTTTGGTCAGATCGGGCCGTATAAGTGCAGGGGTTGACTATTGTTATCAGGCTCGTCAGGGTAATCCGAGTATTCGTGCTGGAGCAATTGGGGAAGTACAACGTAATATGGTAGCGTCCGCGGCTCCAAGTTTGCAACGTGATGAAGAGAAGACGGTTGAGCGGCTCCGGATTCTGCATCAACGACCGACTCGAGTTGCACCAGGTGTGGTCGTCTTCTCGGTGCAGTGTTCGGTTTGGGAATACTTGGGGCTTCGTGATGAGGGGAATGCGGAGGAGAGAAGCTTCGGCACTTGACCGGCCAAGGTTGAAAAAAGAGTGAAAAGGGAAAGGTGGAATTGGAAGTGAGGTGTAACCGCCGTTGATACCCTGAGAGAGTCCAAGTGGAACATCCAGGCAAGGTACCCTCGGCGGGAGATTGGACGATGGGGAAGAACGATGCAAGATGGAAAAAGGGAAAACATGACGAGTCATTCCCAAGAAGAAAAGGATGCAGCAGGACGCTGTGTAAGAAACGCTCCTTCCTTTTCTGGTTATTGTTCCTCTCGTTCTCTTGAAATGTGTGGACAAGAGTAAGTTTGGGGTTCCACTTTGCCGCGAAGGGCAACGACTTCCCGTTCAACAAACTTTCTCTATCGCAAACCTCCGCAAACTTTGCAACTGCAACAGAAACCCCGCAGACAACAACTGATAATTGGTGCCCAAACGAAACCCCAATGAAGGGTGAAATCGGTCGAGCAAGCCGAAGAAGTTGACAAATTGACAGAAAACTGCTACAGCAGGTGTAATAAGGTACGTGCCGCTTACGGCTGTCATGTGCAGATGACTGACTGACTCGGAGGAACAGGAGGAGACGGCGCCTCAAGGTCACGATTACACTTTCATCTCACGCCAAACCTCATTGTTCTTAGTAGGGACTGAGTGGTATAAAAAGTTCTTACTGACCCAAGATATATGTACCTCCAGCAAGTTAGTACTTGTACGCTAAAGGTCAGCCGACGAGAATGGGTCCTGAGATCCATCCAGGAGGCTACCAAACAAGCTGAGCGAACATTAGCAAAGTGCTTGATGGTGCGAAGGACCTCAAATTCCCCAACAACGACCATCACCACCTCAACGAGTCCAACGACCTCCTTGAGTGCTCGTGCAAGATGTTCATGCTCATATGAACGCGTGCCATCTCCGCCTTCCATCATCCGTCTTGTTCACAAGCTTGCCGTCCTACACCCTCTCCGTCAGCTTCAACATCGCTTCGCCTACCCGCACCCCCCACCACACCACACCCTCTTGGGCTTCACTGACGTATAACTCCCCTCCTCATGCTGGACGGGAATTTGTCCGCACCCGGTCGAGCCTGCAGCCGCTTACACCACCACCACCAAGGACAACCATCCCCAAGACCCCAAGCGAAGCCTTTGGCGAGCTTATAGTCAAGAGCAACTTGCGTCATTGTGCTGCTGCCCAACTCTCTGGCTTCTCTGGTTCTGGTTCAAGAGGTTCTTCGGTACATGTCCCGGCGCGACCTACTGCCACGGTCAAACCAAGGCCGTTGCCGACCGGTACCCTTGCCCCGTTGCCCAATCATAACCCCATGCTTTTCCCCGCCATTATTTCTCCGCATAAGGGGATCTCTGCTATAGCTCCGCTTACAGAAGGGATCAACAGGTGCATGGAATGGCTAAAAAGGGGCACTCCTCCAGTGAGGAATCCTCTCCGAATTGCAGCTTCGGCCAAGCATCTGTCCGAGTGACCTTTCTCTTCAAGCGGAGAGCATCTCGATTCTCTTCTCACTCTTGCCTCTCTTCCGACGTCCGATCTTGACTGTAGTGGAAAAAGCAATTTCATCGGAGGAGCTGGCGGCCAAAAACCTGTTCTGGATCTTCACAGTGGCTAGTGCTGCGACTGTGGTGGAAATTGGGTTACACACAGGCTTGCCTATCGGAGAGAAAACAGGTGCTCATCAGGAACCACCAGCGCTCCTTTCCCTTTTCTGGACACCATCAGTCAAACCGCGGGCTGGGCCGAACGGCATGTTCGTTCCTACGAAAAAGTGCAACTTGAAAGCTGAAAGTATTGCTTCAACATTCACCACCTCATTCAGTCGTCCTCTGTATCGATTCACGATACACAAGCAGCAGATTGGCACGCGAGCGGGTGGTGGAACGTGGTGGAATCGTCCGACGAGTCGGGTTCCACGTATTTGCTATGAATGGCAATCCGGCTCCAGCCTGTCATGCCTTGTGTCCTGTCATATCGTTCAGCGCATTCCATCGTCATGCCTATCCTCATTTGCTATACGTGTATGCGTACAGGAAATCCTCGTGCCTTCTCTGGGGTGTTCCAGGTAAAAGTTGATCGTTTAGCACTTGGCTGCTACTCTGTCCACAGGAGATCGCAGAATGTCCCCTGATCTTATTCGTGGAACCTCGTCAATATCCCCCGTCGGCCTCTCTTCTAGCAAGGTTTGAAGGGATGGAAACGCGGTACCGATAGCAGTCCAGGTATGGCCGAAGCCACTTGAAATGGAGGCACAAGAACGCCGTTTTTCATATTCTCTTATAAGTTACTAGACTCCCTCCAACGGGCCGTTGTTCCTCGCTAGGACATCCCTTTTCTTTCCGAACGCCTTCAAGCTGACAGTACCCGGACATCCGCAAGGGCATTTGTCAAGATGGCTGTCCGATCAAACCTTGTGTGGCTCACTCTCGCCTTGAGCCTTTTCGACCCTACATGTAATGCAGGTCCAGTACGCCAAAGGGAGGCCGTCCCGGATGGCTTCTACGCGGCTCCTTACTACCCAACGCCTTACGGCGGCTGGGAAGAGTCATGGAAACAGAGCTATGCAAAGGCGCAAGCACTGGTGGATAAAATGACTCTAGCGGAGAAGACGAACATCACGGGTGGAAGCGGTATCTTTATGGGTAAGTCCTCCGGGAACATTGTTACGAGTGCGGAACTGCGCTAACTGAGACACAGGGTAAGTAAATAAGAGTATCTACCATATCACTTGAGCACTTCTAACCATTGCACCAGTCCTTGTGTAGGAAACAGCGGTAGTGCATACCGAGTTGGCTTTCCTCAGCTTTGTTTGCAGGATGGTGCTCTCGGTGTGGGCAACACTGATCATAACACGGCATTCCCGGCTGGAATGACGACGGGAGCGACGTTTGACAAGGACCTTATCTATGCTCGTGCTGTGGCTATGGGTAAGGAGTTCCGCGGCAAAGGGGCCCACGTTTTCCTTGGTCCCTCGGTAGGCCCGTTAGGTCGCAAGCCTCTCGGTGGCCGCAACTGGGAAGGCTTCGGTTCCGATCCCGTTCTCCAGGGTATTGCCGGTGCCTTGACTATCAAGGGCGTCCAGGAGCAGGGTGTTATTGCTACTATCAAGCATTTCATCGGAAACGAGCAGGAGATGTATCGCATGTACAACCCATTCCAACCAGGATACAGTTCGAATATTGGTAAGTGACAACGGACGGACGGTTGATTGTACTGTCGGATTCTAACCAATTATTGTAGATGATCGTACCCTGCACGAGCTTTACGTAAGTTACCCATCACAAAACCCTCGATTTGTGAAGACTGACACCGAATTACCTAGTTATGGCCATTTGCCGATGGTGTCCACGCCGGTGTTGGCTCGGTAATGACATCTTACAACGCTGTCAACGGCTCGGCTGCTTCTCAAAACGCCTATATGACTAACAACTTACTGAAGGATGAGCTCGGATTCCAGGGTTTTGTCCTGTCGGATTGGCTTTCTCATCTTTCTGGCGTCGCATCAGCACTGGCCGGTCTTGACATGAGCATGCCTGGAGACACTCAGATCCCACTGTTTGGTGGTAGCCCTTGGAAGTTCCATCTTACGGAGGCGGTTCTGAACGGCTCAGTGCCAGTGGACAGGCTGAACGACATGGCTACCAGAATCGTGGCCGCTTGGTATCAGTTCGGCCAGGACAAGGACTTCCCGGCTGTTAACTTCCACTCATACGTATCGAGCGAAAAGGGACTTCTTTACCCCGGTGCTGTTCCGGCCTCGCCCATCGGTAAGGTCAACTGGTTTGTGGACGTTCAAGCGGATCATGCCTCCGTCGCACGCCAGGTTGCCCAAGACGCCATCACTCTTCTGAAGAACGACGATGATTTCTTGCCCCTTTCTACCAAGACGCCCCTCAGAGTTTTCGGTTCCGACGCCCGGGTCGATCCTGCCGGGCCTAACGCTTGCGGAAGCCGTGCGTGCAACAAGGGCACTCTGGGAATGGGCTGGGGCTCCGGCGTTGCGAATTACCCTTATTTCGATGACCCCATCACTGCCATCAAGAAGCGGGTTGAAGATGTCAAGCTCTACGACAGTGATAACTTCCCCCTCATTCTCTCCCCTTCGCCCACTGATGACGACGTTGCAATTGTCTTCATCAACTCCGACGCGGGCGAGAACTCGTTTACCGTTGAAGGCAACCATGGTGATCGTGACAACGATAAGCTCTCCGCTTGGCACAATGGCGACAAGCTTGTCCAGAAGGCTGCTGAGAAGTACAAGAACGTTGTAGTCGTTGTCCACACCGTCGGTCCCCTCATCGTGGAGCCCTGGATTGACCTGCCCTCCGTCAAGTCTGTCCTCTTTGCCCATCTCCCCGGTCAAGAAGCTGGCGAGTCACTCACCAACGTTCTCTTCGGCGACGTCTCACCATCCGGTCACCTTCCCTACTCCATCACTAAGAAGGAAGACGATCTCCCTGACAGCGTTTCCAAGCTCGTCAAGGAAATTATCGGCCAGCCCCAAGACACCTACAGCGAAGGCCTCTATATCGACTACCGCTGGCTCAACAAGCAGAAGATCAAGCCCCGCTACGCCTTCGGCCACGGTCTAAGCTACACCACCTTCAACTACACCGACGCCCACATCAAGCTCGTCAACGCCCTCTCCTCGGCCTTACCGCCCGCCCGCCAGCCCAAGCCCTCCGTCCCCGTCCTCTCCACGAAGATCCCCCCCGCCTCCGAAGCCTACGAGCCCGCCGGCTTCACCAAGGTCTGGCGCTACATATACTCGTGGCTGTCCAAGTCCGACGCCGACAAGGCCTACGCCGTCGGCATTTCCGACAAGTCCGGTTCCAAAACCTACCCCTACCCCGCGGGCTACTCGACGGTGCAAAAGCCCGGCGTCCCCGCCGGCGGCGGTCAGGGCGGTAACCCGGCCCTTTTCGACACCATCCTCGAGCTGGACGTGACTGTGCAAAACACGGGTTCCACGCACAAGGGCAAGGCGTCCGTGCAGGCGTACGTCCAGTTCCCTGCGGGCAGCGGGTACGACACGCCTATTATCCAACTGCGCGATTTCGCCAAGACGAAGGACTTGGCGGCCGGAGAGAGCGAGACGGTTACGTTGAGGCTGAGGAGGAAGGATTTGAGCGTGTGGGATACGCTGAAGCAGAATTGGGTGGCGCCCGGGGCCGAGGGCGATAATGGGAAGAGTAAGCGGTATACGGTGTGGGTGGGCGAAGGGAGTGATAAGCTTTTTACTAGGTGTTTTAGTGATACGCTGGTTTGTGAGAGGGGGGTTGAGCCGCCTGTTTAGTTCTAGGTTACGCTGTATGGTAAAAGTGGGGTTGTTTAACTATCGGTTTTTGATACTTGCTTGGTTGATGTGTTCGAGGTACCTACGGGTGCTATCTGTGTAAGTCTTCAAGTCTTTGGGGTGTGTAATCACCAATCTAGTTTGATGTAAATAGCAGAGTAAACAGGGAAGATAAGAGATTAAGACGTTATTTGTGATTATGGAGTAAGGTATTTAAACGCAAGACGCCGCCAGTCTATCCTTTTCTGCACACGGACAAGAGCTGTCTGCAGGTATCTATTCTGGATGTAAACAACATTAATCTCACTCGAGTGAAATTATGTTTCATTCGAAATCCGTTAAATACCAAGATTTGGCTCGACATTCCAGCCTTTCGTCAAGCTATCATCCATCTACTCTTTCACAGCCTCTTCACATCTTGATAGACGACAGTCTGAGCCAGGGAAGCGGGACTCCTTTAAAGTATCAGTCCATAACGAAGGAAGGAAGGCACAGATCAAACTCTGTTCTCATTAGGTCTGGCTTGCTTGCGGTGAGTCATTGGCTCCTTCCTTAGACGAGCTGGCAACCAGAGGATGGACAAGAGGGACCTAGCGGGAGAGGAGGCATTGGCGATTGAGCAGCGTGAAGAAACAAATCTTTCTGTATTGAAAGTATTGAAAAGATATCTTTCTCTTTGAAGATGTATTTCTTGTGAATGTTATCTGATCCCACCATCTTGTGTCGGGAATAATGCTTGATCCATCACTGCGCCTGTGGTCACGATGAAGTTCTTTTGTTCTTCCGCGTGTCGATGCAGCATCAGAAGTGCATCATCAAATAGGTGATTCGTCTCATTGTGTTCTTGTCGTTTTGGACTCAACTAGCACCGAGCACTGGCTGATACGGTGCTTATCTTTTATTTGACCACAGAAGCATGGGTCCGAGTCAGAGTGTGATTGTAGTAGTAAAGTTTATAAATATCTAAAAAAAGCTAGCAATAAACCCAACCCCCCCCCCCCCCCCC